CTGAGGGGTGGGAAATCCCTCAGACTGGGAATTGAGGAGTCGGAGGAGGCTGGATGGAGGGGGCAGGGAAAGTCCCATCCCCACCTCAGGCTTCATGAGGTCAGACTCTGCCCGTGCCCTTCCCAGTCGGGGACAAAGGCCCATTGAGAGTGGGGTGGGGCTTGAACGCCTGGGTCCCTGAGAAGAGAGGGGCCTAGTGCCTGGGCTTTGGGGGAGGACACAGAGACCCTGGGGTACTCACATGTTACAGCCTTCGGTGTCAGCACCAGCCCCTTGGGTTCATGTGCCTGTGCCGTTTTGGGGGTACATCTTTCTGGGTGTGAACTGAAGGCTGTCCCACAGGTGAGCAAGTCCCATAGACAGCACTGGCACCTATCACCGAAATCTGAAAACTCCGGTGTCCAGGTGGCAGGAGGACTGGGGGGCTGGAGAGCATGTGCCAGTCTAAAGGGGAGCACTGCCACTCACACCCAGCTACCAGCTCTGCCAGGCCATGCGGTCCTTCCACACAAGGCAGGTGTTAGTTTGCTGGGGCTACTGGACAAAGCACCACAAAACGAATGGCTTAAAAACAGTTTATTATATCACAGCGCTGGAGGGTAGGTCTGAAGTTGATGTTGGCATTGGTTCCTTCTGAGGCTGTGGGGAAAGTAACTGCTCCTTTCCTGCAGGCCTCTCCCCTTGGCTCGTCGCTGGCCATCTCCACGTTCCCCAGGCCTTCTGGTGTGAGGGTCTCTGTCCAAATTACCCCTTTTATAAGGACACCAGTCCTATTGGATTAGGACCCACCCTAATGACCTCATTTTAACTTGACTATCTCCCTAAAGATCCCCTCTCCAAATAAGGTCACAATCTGAGGGACTGGGATTTAAAGCTTCAACTTACAAATTTGAAGGAGGGGGACACAGTTCAACCCATAACATCAGCAGTTCAGATTTTTAAACAATATATATCTTTATTGATTCAGAGAGAGGAAGGAAGAAGGAGAGAGAGAAAAACATTAATAATGAGAGAGCCATTGATCGGCTGCCTCCTGCATGCCCCCTACTGGGGATGGAGCCCACAACCCGGGCATGTGCCCTGACCAGGAATGGAACCGCCATCTCCTGGATCCTAGGTGGATGCTCAACTGCTGAGCCATGCCGGCTGGGCAGCAGTTCAGATTTTTATGTGAAATACCTTGCTTTTTTAGGTGTTAGCCCAATTTTATCTAACATGATGTGCCGGCCAAGCAAAACTCAGGCCACCTGCTTACAGCTCTCTTGAGTGGGAGCTGGGGCTTGGTCCAACCAAGAGGCATGGGCTGCCCTCAGCCAGAGGTGGCAGCTTTGTACCGGGAGTCCTCAAAGTGTGGTCCCCAGGCCAGCAGCATCAGTATCACCTGGGAGCTTGTTAGAAATGCAAGTTCAGGCCCCATCCCAGACCTGCCGCTCAGGAGCTCTGGCAATCGGCATTTCCACAGGCCCTCCGGGAGACTCTGGTGCATGCTGACGCCTGAGTACCTCTGCCTCTCATCTCCAGGCCACCTGGAGAACCTGCTAAGATGGCAAAGAGTACTCAGTATTATTAAATGTAATTCCAGGTTTCCCACCTCCCACGCATTTATCGAGGGGGTCTGAGAGTCCTCTCCTTTCCCATCAATACTGATGCTTTACACGGATGAGGCATCTGACAGTTTCCAAAACCATTTCACACTCATTCCTTGCTGAGCAGCTCCACAGCCCAATCAGCTGAGAACTGTAGAGCCACTTCTGTCCTTTTACACGTGAGGAGGCAGAGTTTCAGAGCCTGTAGACCCGCCTGCTCCATCCCCCAGCCAGTAGGAGGCCAGGCTCTCCAGCTTGCCTCTCTGTCCCCACCCCTCAGTCCCCTTTCAGAATCCTCTCTCGAAAGTCGTGGCTTCCAAGGCAGAAGGCAGAAGTTTGTGGGTTACCAGGCTAACTGAACTCCAAAGTTGGGCTTAGTTTTGCTTACAGAGTGTTGATTTTAAAAAATCAAATTCCTTTAATCAGTTGCCAACATTTTAAAAATCAGGAAATTTCACATAAAAATAAGGACTGCCACCTTCTCTTGGAAAGAAGCTCTAGCCATGTTTGGCCTGCCTCCGAGCATGGCAGCCATCACCGGGAGCCCTCTTTAGATGGGATCCAGGCCTCCCCACTTCCTGTTCATACACAACATTGAAGCCAAATGGCCATGGCCCTTTATCATCACACTACTGCTGATGTTTTCTTATGGGCTAAGAAGATAGTGACATGCACCTCTATTTCTATCACAAGTAGAGAAACCAGATAAATTGAGAGGGATATCGTTTTCTAAAATGGGAGCGACCTTAATTCCTGGTGGATGCGAACAGTATTCTCTATGTGTCTCATGTGCAAAGTGTGTCCTTATTGAGATTACAACCTAATATGCTCCTATGAAACAAACCCACACCTCACTCATTTACTGCATCTGTCTGGAAGGCCAGTGGTTCTGAAAAAGTATTGAGGACTCCAAATAATTTTCACTTTAAGTGGGTTATATGTGTAGTTGCTTAACATATTAGAAACTGAAACTGGGAATTTTTTTTTAATCCTCACTAGAGGATATTTTTTCCATTTCTTTTCAGAGAGAGGGGAAGGGGGGGAGAGAAGGAGAGAGAGAGAGAGGAATATCAACGTGAGAGAGACACATCAATTGGTTGTCTCCCACACCCACCCTGACCAAGGACAGATCGAGCCTGCAACCAAGGTACAGGACTCAAACCCCCAACCCTTCAGTCCACGGGCCAATGCTCTAAACACTGAGCCAAACCAGCCAGGGCAAAACTGGAACATTTTTAAAGCACAGCCACAATCCATTAGCCATCAGAATGATGATGTCATCATCTGCCACCGAGCTTCTGGAAAACCCCATTGTACACTCATATGAGAATGAGAGTGAAAGAGACTAGTAACATCTTAGTGGTGGCTGCCTGTGGAGCCTTAAGTGGAGCCCCAGACCTCACTTTGAGAACCCTTGCGAGGCATTTGAGTCTGTCACCACTTCAAGACTTTAAGGAGAAGAAACTTTGTCTAGTTTTCATTCCTTGCTGTGGCAACAAAAATTCTAGGTCTTATGAGGTGGGGCTTAAACAAGGGAAAGAACAGAAAACATTTCCTTCACCGAGCTTCCTTGCAACCCTAGGACACCCCAACCCCACACATCCCTCCACGGACTGGCCCTTACAAGACACAGGCCTTTGGCAGGGAGAAAGGGCAACAGACACTCCGGTTTGGAAAATAAAAGCTAGAACCAGCCATTTTATTCCGACACCATTCACCAAGTGTTGGAGGGCGGCAGGAATAAATAAGGAAGGGGCGGGGCGCAGGGAGGCTCTACGTCTTGCAGCAGATCCCGCACTTGGAGGGGTGGCAGCAGCCGCAGCAGAAGATGCAGATGGGGAAGTGGGTGTCTCGCCTCCACAGCCTCTGCAGCCCGGGCTGTGGAAAGGAAGGAGGGTGAGCGGGTGTCGGCCCAGGGAAGGCTGTGGAGGCTCTGGAGGGAGGCCCAGGTGTTCTCACCGTCAAGCCAGCCGTGGCTCCAGCTGCGGCTCCAGCTGTGTCCTGGGTCTGGAGGTCTGCAAGCTGTTTCGTCTGTGGAAGCAGAAGGGGTATTGAGAATGGCAGGGGGCCCAGCAGAGCTCTCAGATTTGCCCCCGCCAACCCATTCCTCCCCAAGGGGTTGTGTCCAGTGCTCAGCTGGAAGTCTTGCTCTCTGGCCTTTTCTCACCTTCCCACAGGCAGTCTCCTTCCTACAAATACCCCCACGTCTCCTACTCTCTCCACAGCTGCTGCTCTTCTTTGGGACATTGCCCTCCCTGGCCTGGATGCCACCCCTCACTCATAAAATGTCTCCCTCCATCTTGCCCCTACAACCCGTTCCCCACCAGAAAGTCCACAGGGCTCTTCCTGCACTTGGAGGAAAATCAGTGTTTGGCACAATTGCCTGAAAGACTCAGCATGTCCACCCCTCAATCTCATCTCCCAGCACCATCACCTCCACTTCCTACAGCGTCTGGCCACCAAGTGCTCCACACTTGACCCCACCTCAGGTCTTTGCTTGCAGTCCTCTTATCTCCAAGTCATAGGTCAAATAACATTTTCTCACAAAACATTCCTGCTTGACTGCCAGCTCTTGATCCCACCTAAAGCCCTCCCACCCCCACCCTCTATCACCATGGTCACTCCACTTTAGTAACATGTACTAAACACCATGATCTTGTTTTGTTTTAACTAATTCCCTGACCAGATAGCAAGCACCATGAGAGAAAAATCTCTCATCTACCGTGTTCCTTGCTTGATCCCATTTAGAACTGGACTTTACATAGAGTGACACTCAATGAATAACTACAGAATTAGTTTGGGACCCCCAGTCCCTGCCACTCGTCCCTTTCTCTGAGCTTTAAGCAGCTGCCCAGACCCCCTTGCGCTCTGCCCAGTTCTGGGGGGTCTCCAGCTGCCCTCAGCAGTCCCCTCCCAGGGCCTGGCTCTCCAGTCCTGGCTGCCTGCAGGGCCCAGGCCCTGTGGGCTCTCACCTGGTGCAGGACTGAGGCACTGGCCAGGCTGGTCAGGAGGAGCAGCAGGAGACAGGCAGCCTGGGTCCGCGTGTTCAGTGCCATTGTGCCGTCTGGCTGTCCTGCTGTTGGGTCTAGGACTGCTCTGGTGTTGGGCTGAGTTACATGGCTTTTATGGGGCTGCTGGGGGAGGCGGGGGTACTAAGCCCCCTCCCCTTTGTCCTCACTCATTTCCAAGAAGGTGGTGGCGCCGAAAAGGCGGGAGATAAGCGGGAACAGAGTGACAGGGAACAGGGTTGTGTCACCCTCAACCACCAGAGGTGTGTACAGGGGGTGGGGCAGATGGGGCCACAGACACCCGCCTCCAGCCAGCCACCTGGGAAACACTTTCCCCAACATGACATCACCTTGTTGATCTCAGAAAAAATTCCCCCTTTTGCCCCAGAGGTTGAACAGATCGATGAGCAGGAGCAAGGTGTCCTTGTCCCCTACCCTTCCCTGATGTTCTCATTCACATGGGGGATGACTGTCACTTACCAGGCCCCTCGGGGGTGCCTGGTACGACTCCAGCTTTGGGTTCTGTTCTGTAGGGAACACGGCAACAGCTGGATGCAGGAGTTTGAGTCGGTACAAGCTCCCAGCATGTGCGTGATCTTTTACGAGCATCAAAACCTTAGGATGTGGCCCTGCAACCTGAAAAAGGTTCCTGGAAACTTCTGACCATGAAAGAGCAGTAACAGCAGTGACTGCACCTCACAAGCCACAGCAGAGGTATTGACTCACTTTTGTGTTAAACCAGCCGGGACCACCTGTCCTCGAAGCAATGCCTGCTGCCCCACTGTGGGCTCTGCACTGTATTCAGGGGCCCTAGCTGCCTACTTGGCCCATCCCCAAGGACCTGGCTTCCCAGCTGCTACTCCCTCTTAGGAGCCCACCATGCCCACCCATCCTGTCCTCCTCACTTGACAGGAGAGGAACTGAAGGCAAAGACTGGGGCTCTGCCCGAGCCAGAGGCAGAGCTGGCATTCCAGATTAGGCAGCCTGACTCTGGCGCCTGTGCTCTTACCACCAGGCTTTCCTGCCTCCCCCAACAGAGGGCACAGTGGGCTGTGCTAGACCTGGCTCAGACTGGCTCAATGGAGCCACTGTGCACATCTCATCCCACCCCCACATTCAGTGGCATTGTGTTGGTACCTGGACACCAGCAGTAGGGTATGCACACCACAGACATCAACCAACATTACAAACCAGGGCTTTTTTTTGGAGAGGTGGTCGCTTAGACCACCACCGGATGGGGAGGTGAACCAAGGCTGCCCAACTGTCCCGGCCACTATGTGAACCACAGGGAGCAGATGCACATAGCCGAGGAAACAAACTTGATTCCAGACGGGGCTTTGCCACTTTGCCTGACTCATTCTAGGATCACCCAGCGTCAACCCTACCACTGGAACCTGGAGGTACTGCTGCCAGTGAAGGAAAACTTCTCCCCTGCCCTGAACTATAGCCAAGCTCACTCAAACCCCAAGAATGGGGGCCCCGGGAAGTAAAGGCTGCTCCCTGCTATCCCGTCGCTCCATGTTAGGCTCTTCCTGCTGCACACACCCTCTCACAAAGATGGCCTCAAACAGAGGAATGGCCCGGAAAAGGAGACAGGGATCTCAGAGGGAAAAACCAGTTGGGGGCATTTGGGACGCACGCAAGGTGAACTCAGCAAGGTGGCAACTGGCAGGCCTAGACTGTGGGAGTGGAGTTGCATGGGGGCTGCATGCTCAAACACAAGGAGACACCAAAGCATCCCCCAGCACTGCCTGGTGTCACTGCATCTCCACTCAGGCCAGGTTTCATCATCAGCCAGGGGCAGGGGTCACAACACAGGCGCCAGAGCCACAGAGCAAGGCGACAGACTGACGGGCCAAGCTTGGCTTCCTGGCCATTTGCCTTCCTTGGGGGTGGGGGGCTCAAGGCCAGGCCCCACCATTGGCTGGTGCAGAGGGAAGGGCTTCAGCCCAGAAGGGCAGAGCCAGGAGCCAGTCCTGTTTTTAGGAGGGTGACACAGGAGACCCCAGCCTCTCCTCCAAAAACACAGGTCCTTGACCCAACCTCTCCCAGCCCCCACACCACATACACATACCTGGGGCCTCAAAGAGGATATTCGTTCCTTAATTCCTCTAACCAGCCCAGCCAACAGACTGGGTAACATGTAGTAGAGAATGGCAGGGACTAGCAGAGCTACCAATACAACAACCGAGGCCCTGCCCTGATAGAGCTCTGCACAGACCCCAGGGCCCCTGCCCGCACCTGAGATGGACAGACACACAAACAGACAAGGCGGGGCCACATGGGGCCAGTTTATTGCAGTTAAATACCTCTCTCTCTCTATCTTTTGTCCATTTTTCCATAAAGAAAATTAAAACACACACACACACCCAAAGAGGAGCAGGAATCCAGAAACAAGAGGTGGGGTGGGACATGGCCTCCCTTCTTAGGTCCAGGTCCCAGGGATGGCCCCCCAAAGGCTCTCCTCCTTCCCGTAAGCACCGTCTCAGTGCTTTAGTCTCTACCTCTAGAGACCAAAGAGGCAGCGGGATCTGGCAGGGCCCTGTCCTCCCTTCTGCTCCAGGCGAGACCACTAGAAGTGCTGGGGCTTAGTGGGGGCCGGGAGAAGGGACACAGACAGGTGGGAGGGTATCATTTCCACGTTGAGGAGCGGTGGGTGCTTATCCACAGAAATGCATTACTTCTCCCCATTTTTTTGTTAAAAATCTACTATAAAAAAACGCAGCTGGGGGAGGGACATCTGTCCCTCTCTGTGCTAAGGGCTGGGGAAGGGGGCAGCAGAGGCCCGGAGAAGGGCCCCGCGCGGTGTGGTGGGCGTCACTGCCGGTTGCTCTCGCCCACCATCTCCAGGTTGTGCTGCTGCAGCTGGGCACGAAGCACGGCATTCTCATTCTTCAGCTCCTCGATCTGGCAGACAGGAGAGGGAACAAGGGGCCAGGGATAGCTCCCTGAGCCTTGGGGCCCTAGGCCCTCCACCAAGCCCCCAGCCCTGGCACTCACCTGTTGCCTCAGGAGCTCATTGTCCATCTGCAGCCGCTCGGCCTCCTTGAACGTCTCCTGCATGCGCTGGTTGGTCTGGCGCAGCTCCCGGATGTAGTCGCAGGCCTTTGACAGGATCCCTCCTTTACTCTGGGGGTGGACAAGAGCAATAGAGTGAATGCTGTCCACTGGCCTCTGCCCACTGGCTCACCCAGGACAGCTCCCGTGCCCAGTGATCAGGCAGGCTTTCTGGGAGGTGCCGGGGGCACTCACCGCTCCTGTCTTGCTATTGTCTGCATTACAATCTGGAATGATTTTTGAAAGTTGGACGATCCAGTTGTTGATCTTGTCCCTCCGCCTCCGCTCCACTGTAGGAACAATAGCAGTAAGGACAGATAGGCTTACAGTACTTCCCGTGCGCCTAGGGGATCTGCCTCCTGAGGCAGGCGCGGGCGGACCCCAGCTGCCAAGGGAGAGTGCAGACCCGGGGCAGGGTCACACTGCTGGCAGATACAGGGCCAAGATCTGCAGGCAGGCGGCTGGCTTCCCCCCCTGCTTCATGCTGCTTCTCAAGAGAAAGAGAGGAAGTCTCGCTCCCAAGTACCATGTATTCCTTTAAAGCAGAATCAACAGTGGGGGCAGCAGGGTCACTTGGCCTATTTTTAAAAACTTGAGTCAACATTTAAAAATTAGATAATTTCACAAAATAGTTAACATCTTTTGAAAAGATAAGTTGTGGCTACAGTGAGCATATTCTCTTGAGAGGCAAAAATGGGCCACAGCCCTTTACATGGGAACCGACTGCCCCTCTTGGGGCCCCATAGCCCCTGCATTTGATTCTCCACAGTCCTCAGGTCTCCCAAAAGCACTGGTCCCATGATTCTGCTTTTTCTTCATTTTTAAAATCAGTCTGACCGCCCTGGCCAGTTAGGCTCTGTGGTTAGAGCGTCGGCCTGAAGATTGAAGGGTCCTGGGTTCAATTCCGGCCAAGGGCACATACCTCAGTTGCAGGCCTGATCCCCAGCCCCAGTCAGGGCGTGTGCAGGAGGCAACCAATCGATGTGTCTCTTTCACATCGATGTTTCTCTCTCTTTCTCCCACTCTCTGAAAAGAAATGGAAAAAATATCCTCTAGTGAGGATTAAGAAATAATAAATAATAAAATAAAATCAGTCTGACCATGTCTCATCTGTTTAAAACCCTTCTCCAGAGCCCGGGCAGCAAGTCACAAATCCCGACTGACACTTGTGGCTCCCAGGGGCCTGGCATCAGGGCATTGGTGACCCAGGAACACAAGCCCTATCTTGAAGGCCAGGGACAGCAAACTAATGGAAGATTTCACTTGAAAAAAAATCCAGATTTGTGATTTTACTTCATAAAATGCCACAGTTTCACTCTGCCAACTGAGTTGAGCGACAGCTGCCCCCTTCAGACAGGGCATGTCTTCTCTCTGGCTTCTCACCTGGCCCTCACATCCTGACCTTATGACAGCTACCTGGGGTCTGCCTACATTGGAGCCTGAGACCTGTGGTTTGGGGACTAGTGAAGCAAACCTGTCCCAGCCCTTCTTTACCTTCCAACCCCAGTACTAGGCACTTGTGGGGACACATAAGAAAGCCCAGTTATCCCCCAATTCTCACCCATACTCTCAGTCCCCTACCAGGATGGCCTATGGCCAAATGCAGGCAGGGTTTGTGGAGGGGGGACTGGGCCTATAAGTAGGCTTTGGAAAGGAGGGCGAGAAGACATTTTCTCAGGGTTGGGTGGTGATGGGAGGTTGGGGAGGGGGCCGAGTGAGGGTGAGAAAGGATGGGGTGGCCAGCACCTCCTCTGAGGCCAGCTCTGCCCAACCCTGGTGTTCCCTCAAAGAACACACTTGGCCACTAACAGACAAACCCCACTGTCTTCTCTTGGCACTTGGTTTTATCCACTCATTGATGACTAGTCCTTCCCACCTCCAGGTGCTCCTGCACTTTGGCCTGTGTGACAACAACCTCCTATGTGGAGGTCTCTCCTCCTCCCTCGCTCTCCTGTCCTCAGAAATCTCCCTAATAACCACGACAAGAACGGCGCCCAGTACAAAGTTTAGTCTGACCTTGGCCCTGAGCCCCATTGCTGTGGTGGCAAGAAGAACCTTCCCTTTGAGGACAGCCTTGTCTGTCTTAGAACTCTGTGGCCAAGACCTGCAGCAGAGCCAAGAGCGCAGCCCAGGCCTGGGGGCATGGCCCACCGCATCCCTCAGCAGTGTGCGTGCTCCTTTCCCAAGGTTTCAGCTGAGGAGCTCAACAGCAGATGGCTCTCGGTTTCTTTCCCTACCCTCATGCAGTCCAGCATTCACGAGCCTGGGCTCCAGGCTGCAGCTGTAATCCCATGTACTCATTTCAAGCCACCAGGGGGCAGTGACAGGGGGTGTGGAACATCACCAGTTTGCAATTACTTCTTAAAAACATACTGCCAGAGTGGCTCAGTTTGTCAAGCATCATCCTGTTCACTGAAAGGTTGCTGGTTCAATTCCTGGTCAGGGCACATACCTGGGTTGTGGTTTGATCCCCGGTCAGGGCAAGTATGGAAGGCAACCAACTGATGTCTCTCTCCATATCTTTCTCTCTTTTTCTCCCTTCCTCTCTTAAGTATGTCCTCAGGTGAGGGTTAAAAACAAAAAGTATTGCTTGCCCTACTGTGTGCACAGCACTGAGAGGCTGGGGTCCATGGTAAACTCAATCTCTGTCCTGCTGGCACTCACTGCAAAGTGCACGTGACCAGGTGACAATGATACCAACACTAAAGGATATGTTATAAATGAAGACTGTGTCAAGTACCCCAAGTACCTGGGAGCCCCAGGGTAGAGCAATGATTTCTGCAGCCTCAAAGACTTAGAGAGGAAATATCTGGGCTAGTTTCTAGGGGAGAAGCATCAGGCAGACAGGTGTCAAGATCCCAAAAATGGTGACATGGAAATACTTGGGTGAGGGTGGCACGTGGAACAGGGTGATAGGAAAACGCTGTAAAAATAGGCTGTGAAAGCCTTGAATGCCTGATAATGGGTCTGGACCTCATCTCTTACTCTAGGGGTCCAGGCTCTTGAGTCTGGGCCTTTTGTTAAGCAGGTAATGATGCCGTCAGACCTGTGGCTTGGGAAGACCATTTTGGCACATTTGAAATGGAGGAAGACCAGTTAAGACCAAGGCCACATGTATTCCACAAAAGTGCTTCAGTTACACCCACACAACATTGAAAACAATTTAGAAGTAAAATCTGCCAGACTAAAGGGAGAAAGGGACAAACTCCCAAATACACTTGGAGACGTCGA